GATAGATAGATAGATAGATAGATAGATAGATAGATAGATAGATAGATGGATAGATGGATAGATGGATGGATGGATAGATGGATAGATGGATGGATGGATAGATGGATAGATGGATAGATGGATAGATGGATAGATGGATAGATGGATAGATAGATAGATATGCTGTTCATTTATATGTAAGGCCATATTTTGTTATCAATCTGAGGATATTTTCACATATTTTTTAGATCTCCAGCACCATTTTCATATTTACTCGCAATGATCCTCCATCTAAAACCTCTGTTAAAAGGAAGTTTTTCCTCGCCTGTGTCGCCTAGTGCTTGCTCATGGTGGGAAATGTTGGGTTTCTGTAATTAACTTCAGAGTAGGGTCTGACCTGCTCTGTTTGGAAAGTGCTGTGAGACAACTGTTGTTGTGATGTGGCGCTATATAAATAAAATTGAATTGAAAATTGAATTGAAGAAATCCATCCATCCATTATCATTACCCATTATGCCCTAATATGGTCAGGGGGGACTGGTTGTGATTTAAAATGGTCTAAATAGCTGTTTAATGTTTCTAATTGATGTATAAATGTATTTCTTATGCAAACTTCATGGGAAAAGTGAGTATAAAGTCAGCTAAGGGGCTAAAGATCTTTTGTCTTGAAATATCTATACATAAGACAACAAAAATTATCAATTTTATGCCTCAAATATCGCACCGAAACACAGTCAGACAAGCTTTTGCAGAACTGTAGGTATCCATCCATCCATCCATTATCATAACCCCTTATGCCCTAATGGGGTCGGGGGGGCGGAGCCTATTCCAGTGGCCAATGGGGAGAGGCGGGGTCCCCCTGGACGGTCCCCAGTCCATCACAGGGACACACAGAGACACACAAGGACCAACAACCACACACACTCACACTAAGGGCAGTTTGGAGTCCAACAACCTAACATGCAGGTTTTTGGAGGGTGGGAGGAAGCCGGAGAACCCGGAGAGAACCCACAGACACAGGAGAACATGCAGAACCACCCAGAAAGGTCCTGGTTCCCCCGGGACTCCAACCCAGAACCCTCTGGTCCTGGTTCCCCCGGGACTCTAACCCAGAACCCTCTGGTCCTGGTTCCCCCGGGACTCCAACCCAGAACCCTTTGGGACTAGAACCCAGAACCCTCTGGTCCTGGTTCCCCCGGGACTCCAACCCAGAACCGTTTGGGACTAGAACCCAGAACCCTCTGGTCCTGGTTCCCCCGGGATTCGAACCCAGAACCCTCTGGTCCTGGTTCCCCCCGGGAACTACAACCCAGAACCCTGGGTGCTAACTACCACACCACCGTGCCACCCAGAAGAAACCTCATCTTTTTTTCTTTTTTTTTTAAAAGCATAAAGTATGATGCTGGTTTTAACTGGTCCTTGTGGTCATTTTTCACTGGCACCTTCTGTGAAAAATCAAAGGATGATCACAGTGGAAGGAATTCCACTCAGCAAGCCTCGACATTTCCCCAATACCATACTTGATTTCATGTCATTTTACTCTTTTCCATCAGCTCTGAAGTTTTTACAGCATGTTTGGGTCAGTCCACTTTCAATCACAGGTGACACAAAGTCCCGGATTTGCATTGGCTCTCATGGCTTTGACCTCAGAGTGATAAATGACCACCAAACTGATGACTCTGGACTAATGGATGCTGCCACAAGGGCTGGAGAAACTTTATACGGGCACAATAAATAAAGCCCCGAAGGCCGTCTGGTCTGCTAACGGTAACCAACCCCCGACAAAATGCTAGCATGAAATATAAAGACCTTTTTTTATAAAAACCACACAGCAACCAGAGCTCTGCAACTCCAATAAGAGCTGACAGAAAATCACGGAGCAATTAGAGCCCGTTCAGATCTCAAAGAGCAGCATTGTTTCCTTTCTCAGAGATATCCGAGCCAAACTAACTAACTAATTAACTAATTAACTAACTAACTAACTAACTAACTAAGTAACTAACTAAGTAACTAACTAACTCTTTAAAAGGTGGATCTGAAGAAGAAAATAGCTGTCCAGATACAGTGGGGGAAATAAGTATTTGAGCCCTTGCTGATTTTGCAGGTTTGCCCACTTACAAAGAATGCTTATTTTTCCTCATCAGATGGTTATCAATTTTTATAAATTCATATGATGTGATTTTCTGGAATTTTCTTTGGGATTCTGTCTTTCACTGTTAGAATGTACATATGATTAAAGTTATAGATCGTTGCATTCTTTGTAAGTGGGCAAACCTGCAAAATCAGCAAGGGCTCAAACACTTATTTCCCCCACTGTCACTACCTGTCTATGGTAGTATGAAGATCCTGGGTTTTCCAGTTCTATGCGCCAACGATTTGTAGAATAAGAGACATGCTGTGGTTAAACTAAACTCAACAGCGCCCTCTGGAGGACACATCTGGGACATGCCGTGAGCTTTAGCTTTTTTCATACGGAGTCACACCCCTGTAGCATGACAATCCCCTCCTGCTGTTTCTGGATGATGAAGACAAACATGAAGGAGATGATGAAGCTGCTTACAGTGCGTGAGGCAAAGGAAAAGCCACGGGGGATTTTATTCAATATCTTTTCCTTTAAAAGAAGCATCTGTATTCTGGTTTGGGCTCAGCCCTTTCGTACCAAACCCGACTGGGTCGTACCAAAATATTTAAGTTTCCAGACAGCTAAAGCTGCCCTTTCTACAACAACTGTAAGATAAGCTCTCCCGCTGGCAGCCGTAATGATTGAAACGGCTATTGGATTCATAAAGCGTGACTCAGCTTGCTCTACCTTTCCCTCAAATTAGGACATCGCTATTGTGACCGTCTGCTGTACAAACCCAGTCAATTTCTCACATGGTCGAGCCTCTGCCAGACTCCTCCATCTTCTTTTATTAAAACGTGTATCCAAGTTTATTTCCAGGGCTTCTTTTCCTGATGCTTTTCTCCGCTGAATGTCAGATAATTAAGGTATTAGACGAAGGAAAAAGAAGTCAATCAGGCCTCCGCGGACATGTCTATGAAACACTGTTTGCAAAAGTTAACTCGTGTTTAGCAGAAGTTCCTGTTGGATTATTATTTTTTACATTTGAATTATTTGTGTTTGTTCAAACTTGAAATAACGCGATATCTCCTGTTACTCTTGTGTTCAAGGTTTTCAGCCTTTATGACTGAATGACCCTTTCACCAATCAAACCAAGAAAACAAATTCCAAATAAAAACAAAAAGGGGAAATCCTTGTTCCGATTTGTTCCTTTTGCCGACTGGCCTCTTTCAAGTGGAGCATTACTGAGGGAAGAATCAAAATCACAACAAAACTACACAATGTTGTTTGGGATTAAATCAAATATTAACTCATTGACTGCCAGCCATTTTCAGAACAGAGCCCCATACTGCCAGAGTTTTTTTGAGCATTTTGACTGACTGACAAGAGCCACAGAATAGTTTGTGCTATGACTATGTAAACACCGAACACACCAAAAGAAAGAGTAGACTCTCTTCTTTCATCAGGAAAAACAAAATTGTTTCTACCATATTCCGTTCTTCCTGGACTTGCGTCTCACCGGCGACATGTTCTCTCATAGCGAACCGTTCCCTTTTTCTTATTTGCCTACAGTCTATGCTCATCTCCCATCAAAAGTGGCACTGCCACCTACAGGGTAAATTTGTCAGTACATACTCTGTCTAGAAGCCGATATTTACGGACAAGCTTTAGCAGATCGTCCCCCAGACACTCTCGTTGAAAACATAAAAGACGTCTATAGACGTCTTTAGCAGCCAATGAGTTAAAGAATATACAAAACAAAAAAAGGACTAAAGAGAAAGCTCATGAACAGACTTCAGAGCTGGAACAGAGAGCTGACAGTCGGGTGAATCTGGAGGCTGTTTGAGGCTTTTAAAGATAAGATAGATGAGCCGAAACACGAATATGAGCTGCTGGTGAAACCGCAGATGGACCGGTGACGTTTGAAGCTGCACTGGACTTTTATCTGTGCGGAGGACATCTTGATAAAAGCCAATTTGCGGTGCAGTTGAATGAGGACGAGCAAAAAGGGAGCTGGGCGGATGCTCAACTTCCAGCGAATGCATCACTGTCCCACAGTTTGGTCGCCGAGCGATTTCCAGTACGTTTCTGAGTAGGGTTGTCACGATACAAAAATTTTCAACTCGATACCGATACTCAGGAAAATACTGGATATTCGACACCATTTTCTATACCACAAGGATAAAAACAAAGACCCCAAAATTAACTGAATTTTGACAGGTTAGTGTCTTCAAACTGACCTGTTACTGATGTTATGGTGGCCCACATTAATGACCCTAACCCTAACCCTAACCCTAACCCTAACCTAACCCTGACCCTAACCCTAACCCTAACCCTGTCCCTCCATCCTTCATAATTGTGAGAAATAAATATTTTTGGGTTAAACTTGGATGGACCCTCAGTCAGAGAAGACTCCCACAGAGATAGTGATCAGGTTAGTGTCCAGAAATTGCCTGTTTTTCTGAGCCAGGGACCCACGTTCAGCTTAGAGACTCCACTTTCACCTCTGGCGAGGTTTGTTTTGTACCTGAGGCCGAGCCCTTCATGTGGCGGTTTTAATTCAGCCTCAGCCTGTTTCGGTTTTGTCAGCGAACCGAAGACACCCTCCAAATACTAATGTCTCCACTTTAAGGTTTTCCCGATACTAAAATGTTCAACTCGATACAGATACTCAGGAAAATATTTGATACAAGGATAAAAACAAAGACCCCAAAATGTAACTGAATTCTGACTTGTTAGTGTCTTTAGTTTCAAACTGACCTGTTACTGATGTTATGGTGGCCCACATTAATGACCCTAACCCTAACCCAAACACTAACCCTGACCCTAACCCTAACCCTGACCCTGACCCTAACCCTAACCCTTCATAATTGTGAGAAATAAACATTTTTTGGTTAAACTTGTTTGGACTTATTGTACAAACCTATTTAAAATCCACTATTTTAACATAATATCATGGATAGAGTTTAATTCAGTGTTTGCGAGATTCATTTAACTATTTCTAAATTAATGTCTATATTGCCATGAGGCAATTACGATTTTCTTGCCTGGAATCTTCCTATTGGTGACCTAATCAAAATGGCCGACTTGGATGTGTGCTGAGTTGGATATGTACTTGACTATTTGTTATCATTAGCCGTTAGCCGCAGCTAGCAGTTCAAGGCTAACGTCTTGTTAATGATCATAAACAACGTAAATAAATACATAAATAAATCAGCGAGGGGGGGGGAGGTGGTATCGATACTTTTGAAAATGAGTATCGTATCCGGATAAAACATTTTAGTATCAATACTTTTTTGAGTATCGATACTTTTGACAACCTTACTCCTGAGAGTAAACATGTTTCCTTTTTCATTGTGAAGTCAGAGAAAATTCACCAGCCTCCATTAAATCTGCTAATCTGAACACAGACTGATCAAACACCACTTCAGTCAAAAGTCTGTGAATCCATGGTGAACAAACCGGCTAATTATAGAAGCAGGAGGCTTTTCACAGGCTCCCAGGGGCCTTGAGATTTTTTTTTATGTGTACCCAGTAGTACAAACTGCAAAGATACACCAGAAAAAGAAGAAAAAAATCCGCCTGGAGAGTCGAACGAACAGAACATAAGACCAAAAACAAGACAACGTACGCGTTTCGGGGTCTTTTGTAGGAAGCAAATGCAGCAAATTCAGAAGTTCACATTAAACAGATTCTGAAGAGGCTTTCAACTTTGAGCAGCTCCACAGATTTCTGCTGACAACTCACACGTCTGAGTCTGAGATTTCTGCCTCTCAGTCTCTCTGTTTTAACTCTCCTCAAAGGCTGTGATGATACGCTGAACCATCTTTAAAGCCATCGAACCCTAACCGAGTCCCACTGGCCACAGACGTTACTGTAACTTTAGTTTTGCTTTCTGCAACATACAGTGGGGGAAATAAGTATTTGACCCCTTGCTGATTTTGCAGGTTTGCCCACTTACAAAGAATGCAACGATCTATAACTTTAATCATATGTACATTCTAAGAGTGAAAGACAGAATCCCAAAGAAAATTCCAGAAAATCACATCATATGAATTTATAAAAATTGATAACCATCTGATGAGGAAAAATAAGCATTCTTTGTAAGTGGGCAAACCTGCAAAATCAGGAAGGAGTCAAATACTTATTTCCCCCACTGTAGAAAAGCTAATTGGCTAATTTGTGCTGGCAGGAAAAAAACATTATTGCTCCCTGATGGTATCAATACCGAATTATCATCAATTCCTCTTATTTCAGGAGACGCCATATAAGGGACATCCCGATCCAGCTTTTTTAACTTCCGATCCGATCCCGGCCTATCAGAGCATGTTTAAAGTTGAAAGTTATTTATCTACTTACTTAGTTGTCAGACTCATGTTGAACAGGGATTTACTCTGATAACAACTTAATGGTTAGGACACAGACCTGTGGGTTACAGATGCTAATGCTAATGCTAATGCTAATGTGGGATCGGACTTATAAACAAAAACTGGATCTGGAGTCTGGATCTGCATTTTCCCGATCCAATCCAGATATTGGATCAGGACCAGTCTACACCACATACGTCCATCCTGAACTAATTAGAGCAGAACGTTTAGAAAGGTGGAAAAACAAGAAACCGTGAAGCTCTTCGATATAATGTCCCTTTTCTTCTTTGCCCTCCCCCTGTTTCTGATGTCATTACCTTGATAGTGGGTGGTGCGATGGCCAGATATTTGTCTCCGTTGTGGTAGGTGATGGACTCCTGTCCTATGATTATAGCTCCACCAAATGGCTCTGGCACTGAAACACAAGCACACAGAGAGAAAAGACTTTAATATGTACAATTCCTGCTCGTCTTTTCTCCTCAGTCTCCTCAATAAACTTTGAAATAATGTCAATTGGTCAGCTTTCCTGTGAAGGGTTTAACTATG